TTATAACCTCCAGCCGGATGCCTACTATCTGCTCTTGCTCCAAACCAATTCAAACTTTCTGCAGGTGGCCAGGGCAATCTTTTCAAAACACAAAGCTGACTGTTGTCTCTCTGCTACTTAAAAACCCTTTAATGGCTTCCCCAGTGCTCTAAAGACCTAATCCTTAGCCTGGTGTACAAGACCCCCACTTACCTTTGCACCCTCACCTACCACTCCTCGCTCTCCATGTTCAAACTATAGGGATCTTCCAGTGCCTCAGTTCACCATGCTGCCTCCTACCTCAGGGCTTTCTCCTCTCTGGAGTGCCCCCTCCCACTCCAACAACTACTTTTTTCAAATCTTCAGATTTCAACTCAAAAGCCCTATCTTCAGGTAAGCCTTTTATGACCAAGCTCCTCCTTTCCATCCCGCCCCCCCTATGGTTTTTCTTCACAGCATGTACCACAATTTGTATTGGTTGATTTATGGAGCCTTGATTACTAGTAGTGTCTTTCTTCTTCTTCTTGTTCTTTTGACTAAACTGCAAGATTTAAGGTTAGGGGCAAGAAGTGTTTCCTCAACAGCTAACACTGATACAGAGTAGGCACTCAAAAATGAAATATTTGTTGACTATAAAATCGTACACAACAGAGTACAATTTGAACAGAGTACAATTCACACCATTCACCTTAAACGCCAAGAGGCCCCGAGATTGAAGGAAGATAAATGTGTTGCTCTTATCTTGACCACGGATAATGCATCTTGTGATAGTGCCTAGGGCAGCGGTGGGCAAACTACGGCCCGGATCCGGCCCGTTTGAAATGAATAAAACTAAAAAAGAAAAAAGACCGTACCCTTTTATGTAATGATGTTTACTTTGAATTTATATTAGTTCACACAAACACTCCATCCATGCTTTTGTTCCGGCCCTCCGGTCCAGTTTAAGAACCCATTGTGGCCCTCGAGTCAAAAAGTTTGCCCACCCCTGGCTAGGGTGATCTAAAGCAAGGAAGTAGGCCAGGTTTAAAAAAAAAAAGGACCAGGTTGCAACAGACTTTAGTACCTGGAACACTGAAAGTACAAAACAAGTGGCACAGGGCAGAAGCATGAGTATAAGTTTGCTGGAAGAGAGGCAGCACCTGTATTTGATAAACTGGATTTCTGTAGCCTATCTCAGGCCATTTATAGACATCCAAAAAAGTCTGTATGTGGGTCAGCATTAAAGGAGAGGCAGGTGTCTCACAGTGGGTGGAGGAATCTACAATTATAATCAAAGTAAAAGAACCAGAGGGTAAGGGAAACTGGGGGGTCAGAATCTGAGTACTGGTCAGGATCTTCCATAAAGGAGATATTTCTTTAATGCTTTATCTCAGAAACTCTTAGTTTAGTTTTTTATTTTTTATTTTTTAATTGATTTTTAAAGAGAGGAAGGGAGAGAGAGAGAGAGAAACATTGATGTGATAGAGAAGCATCAATCAGTTGCCTCCTGAAGGCACCCCAACTGGGGATCAAAACCACAACCTGGGCCCTGGCCGGTTTGGCTCAGTGAGTGGAGCGTCGGCCTGCGGACTGAAGGGTCCTGGGTTCGATTCTGGCCAAGGGCACATGCCTGGGTTGCGGGCTCGATCTCCAGTGTGGGGCGTGCCGGGAGGCAGCCAATCAATGATTCTCTCTCATCATTAATGTTTCTATCTCTCTCTCCCTCTCCCTTCCTCTCTGAAATCAATAAAAATATATTTAAAAAAAAACAAAAACAAAACCACAACCTGGGTGTGCGCCCTGACCAAGAATCAAACCTACTACCTCTTGGTGTACTGGACGATGCTCCAACCAACTGAGCCATATTGGCCAGGGTGTAGTCTGGTTTTCATTAATGGGAGACAATAGTTCTTTTATTTATGCTCTTATGACTTATAATCTGTATTCTATACCTTACTGCTTGCCTGCAAAGTTAATAAAAGGGTTTGGCTCTTCTGATCCATAAGCATTCTTTTCGATGTTAATTATGTTTGAAAAGTCTTAAAGCTAGCTTCTGTCTTTGGCAAACGAAATTACATTGGACCCACTGACAAATTAATGATGAATGAGGATACCTTCTGAGAAGTGTGTCCTTACACGATGTTGTCATTGTGCAAATGTCATAGAGTGCGCTTACATGTAGATGATATAGCCTACCACCTATGTAGGTCATATGGTATAACCTGCTGCTCCTAGGCTACAGGCCTGTATAGCATGTTACTGTACAAAACATGAGATTAAATCATGCCCAAGAGAAAATGATGCAATCAAGAGACATGGTAAATGGGACATGTATGAGGCTATATATCAGGGGTCCTCAAACTTTTTAAACAGGGGGCCAGTTCACTGTCCCTCAGACCGTTGGAGAGCCGGACTATAGTTTAAAAAAAAACTATGAACAAATTCCTATGCACACTGCACATATCTTATTTTGAAGTAAAAAAACAAAACGGGAACAAATACAATATTTGTATTTGCATATGGCCCGAGGGCCGTAGTTTGAGGACCCCTGGCCAAGACTGTAGCTTCTCTTCATTACTGTATCACCAACAGCTAGTGCTGGGTCACTTGTATAATAAAGTCTCAGTAACATTTTTGAATAAATGACCTAGGCATGTGCCCTTGACCAGAATCAAACCCAGGACCCTTCAGTCCACAGGCCAATGCTCTACCCACTGAGTCAAACCAGCTAGGGCTAAGGCTGTTTTAGAGCAAAGTTTTATTTTTTTATAACTAGAAAGAGCACACTCTAAAATACTGATAAAAAGTATAGTAATATATAAACTAACAACACAGTCATTATCATTATCAGTATTATGTACCGCATGTAATTAATTGTATGTGCTACACTTTTGTACGATTGGCAGCACAGGTTTGTTTATGCCAGCATCACAATCACAGAACTAGCATGCTGCACTGTGACATCACCATGGCTACCATGTCACTAGGTGAAAGGAATTTTTCAGCTCCATTATAATTTTATGGGACCACTATCATGTATGCAGTCCCTAGCTGACTGAAATGTCATTATGCAGCACATGGCTCTAATTTTGACCAAAATCAATATATCACCACCTCCAAGAGCTATTAAATGGGCATGGTGGCTCGGTACTTACATATCAGCACAAATAAAATGTGTTAGGGGGTGGGTAACAGTGCCGATGCTCCACCACTGGTCTAGACTTGCTATCTGAACTGGGGGACATTTTGAACATGGCTAGTTTTGTCAGTTCTCCTCAATGTCTCTCCCAGAAAACGGGGTTTTCACATTTCTGGCTCTTTGTAAAAGGCCATTTGACTTAAAACAAATACTCTCACACAATTGTAATATTCAATTTTTTTTTTTTTTTTGGTCCATGAGTCATTTTGAAAGTAAAATCATAAAAAGGCTGGCACCAGTCCATGAGAGCTGACAGGCTTAAAACCACAAAAGCAAAATTTGTTGTTTTTTTCCCCATTAACTTTAAAGTAGATGACTTGGATGGGAACCCACCAGCGATATTTTAAAGAGATTCCGCTACCGTAAAAACTTCAGATACTAAACAGTAAGAGTAAACCCAGTGATCATATAGGCAGGAACTTAATAAGGAAATCTCCTCCTAAGATTCTTACTCCAGGAAAAAAGCCTTCCCGCTCAACTCCCTGATGCCTAACTTTCCCGAAGAAGAGAAGTGAATAAAGGAGATCACACAGATGCAACCGCAGAACGTATTTGCAAGAGGCACTTCACAACTGAGCACAACTCTTCCAGCGGCCCCTGGCCACTTGGTGGCCCTCACCTGCCCACGCCTCCCCTACCTCCCGGGGCAGCTGGCCCAGGGCACTGCCTCAGGGTCCGGGATGAGGAAGGAGGGGAGTGGTTCCCTGGGGCGGGGGGAGGCAAGGATGTCAGGCCGGAGGGCGAGGCCGGCCAGCCGCCAGCCTGCGGTGACCTAGTCACAGTCACCTCCAAGGCGAAGCTGCATTCCCCGCGGCCCCTCCCCAGCTCGGCTCGGTGACTACAGTCCCGAGGCACCCGGCTGAACCCCGTAAGGCGAGGGAGTGTCCAGGCTGCAAACACTCGCTCCGGGCGGCAGACACATGCGTCGCAGCGGGGAGCTCAGCGCCCCTCCGCGTCGGGCTGAGCGAGCGCGGCGCCGGCACAAGTTACTTTCCCCGCCGAGC